TGATGCTGCTGATGATGATGATGATGATACGTATGACGATGATGAGGACGACGATGATGATGCTGATGCTGATGCTGCTGCTGCTGATGATGATGATGATGCTGCTGATGATGATTATGATGATGGTGGTGGTGGTGGTGCTGCTGCTGATGATGATGATGATGATGCCGATGCCGATGATGATGATGATGATGATGATGATGATGATGATGATGATGATGATGATGATGATGATGATGATGATGATGATGATGATGGCGATGCTGCTGCTGCTGGTGTTGCTGCTGCTGCTGATGATGATAATGATGATGAGGAGGAGGAGGAGGAGGACAAGGAGGAGGAGGAGGAAGAGGAGGAGGAGGAGGAGTCCTCCTGCTTCGCGTGCACTGGCCTTTGGTCGTGATGCGATCCGACGTGGTGGTGTAGTCGGGCGGCTTTGCAAAGGAAAGGAAGGAGAAGACGGGGAGGACGTGTAGGGGGAAGCGGAGGATGGGTTTATGGGAGGAGGCGCAAGGGTAGCAGGACCCGAAGTGGGATCCATCCACAGAGGAACCGGATAATGAGGATGAGGGGGATGGGGAAGTGGGCGCGAAACAGGCGGAAGTGGAGGAAGTGGAGGAAGTGGAGGTGGTGGAGGAGGAATGGCAGGAAAAGCATTGGTATGGGGGGCACGGATAATGTGGGTTGCGGGGTAGGACGGAGGAAGAAGGGAAGGAGGAGGAGGAGGAGGAGGAGGAGGAGGATGAGGATGAGGAGGAGGAGGAGGAGGACGAGGAGGAGGAGGAGGAGGAGGAAGAGGCGGAGGGGGAGGGGGAAGGGGAAGGCGGAGGGGGAGGACGTGGAGGAGGCGAGGAGGAGGAGGAGGAAGAGGCGGAGGAGGAGGAGGAGGAGGATGAGGAGGAGGGAGATGAGGAGGGGGAGGAGGAGGAGGAGGAGGCGGAGGAAAAGGAGAAACGCGACGGCGGAAGGCGGAAGGGGAAGGCGGAGGAGGGGAAGGATGTGCAGGAGGAGGAGGAGGAAGAGGCAGAGGAAAAGTGCGAGGAGGACGGAGACAGTGAAATTTAGGATGGGATGGCCGACGGGGAGGAGGAGGAGGATGAGGAGGATGAGGAGGAGGAGTATGGTGGAGGTGCGGGACGGGGATCGCGATGACGATGATGATGCTGCTGCTGATGATAACGATGGTGACGATACTGAAGGTGGCTGTGATAATGGCGATGATGATGATGACGGTGATGATGATGATCATGATGATAATGATGATGCTGTTGATGCTGGTGATGCTGGTGATGCTGATGCTGATGAGGAGGAATATGATTATGATGATCATGGGGATGATAAGGATGATGTCGACGATGATGATGATGATGATGATGATGATGATGATGATGATGATGATGATGATGATGATGATGATTATGGTGATGATGATGGCGATGACTATCATTGTGATGGTGATGATGCTGCTGATGCTGCTATTGACACTACCGATGATGATGATGACGATGATGCTGATGATGATGATGCTGATGATGCTGATGCTGCCGACGATAGAAATGTGGACGATTCTCATGATGATGCTGATGCTGCTGATGATGATCATGGTGGTGATGATGATGCTGATCAGGATTATGCTGGCGATGACGATGGTGCAGATCATGATGGCGATGTCGATGATTATGCTGCTGTTGCTGATGCTGCTGATGCTGATGATGATGGTGACGACGATGTCGATTAGGCAGATGATGATGATGATGATGATGATGATGATGATGATGATGACGATTATTGTGATGATGAAGCTGCTAATGATTATGAAGAAGCTGCTGATGATGACGACGATGCTGTTGACGATGACGATGATGATGCTGATGCTGATGCTGCTGATGACGCTGCTGCTGATGATGATGTTGATGGTGATGGTGATGATGATGATGATGATGATGATACTGATGATGATGATGATGATGATGATGATGATGATGATGATGATGATGATGGTAATGAAGATGACAATGACGATTACGATGATGATAGTGCTGATGATGCCGATGCTGATGATGATGATGCTGATGCTGGTGCTGACGCTGATGGTGCTGATGATGATGCCGATGGTGATGATGATGGTGATGATGATGATGATGATGATGATGATGATGATGATGATGATAATGACGATGCTGATGATGATAATGATGATGATGCTTATGGTGGTGACGATGATGATGATGCTTATGCTGACGATGCTGCTGCTGTTGTTGTTGTGGACGATAACGGTGATGATGACGACGGTAATGATGATGGTGATGATGATGCTGATGATGATGCTGATGATGATGATCATGCTGATGGTGATGGTGGTAGGATGATGATGCTGCTGATGATGATGATCATGATGCTGGTGCTGATGCTGATGCTGCTGCTGATGATGACGGTGATGCTGCTGCTGATGCTGATGATAATGATGCTGCTGCTGATGCTGAAGATGCTGATGATGACGATGTCGATCAGGCAGATGATGATGACGAGGATGACGACGATGATGATGATGATGACAATGATGATGATGATGATGATGCTGATGATGATGATGATGAAGATGATTATGATGATGATGATGATGATGCTGATGATGATGATGATGATGATGATGATGATGATGATGATGATGACGATCAGGAGGATGATGCTGATGATGCTGTTGATGATCATGATGATGCTACTATGATGATGCTGCTGCTGATGATGATGCTGATTATGATTATCATGATGCTGGTGCTGATGCTGATGGTGCTGCTATTGATGATGACGATGACGATGATGCTTCTGCTGATGCTGATAATGATGATTTTGCTGATGATGATGCTGATGCTGTTGCTGATGCTGCTGCTGCTGATGGTGATGACGATGATGATGATGCTGATGACGATGCTGAAGATGATGTTGCTACTGCTGATGCTACGGGCCATCTCATTCATTATGGTGACGACGATGGTCACATTGATGGTAATGACGGCGATGGCTATGGTGGTGCTGATGCTGCCGATGATGGTACTGATGACGATGACGATGATGATGATGACGATGATGACGATGATGACGATGATGATGATGATGATGATGATGATGATGATGATGATGATGATGATGATGATGATGCTGATGATGCTGTTGTTGACGATGGTTGTGATGATGACGACGATGATGCTGCTGCTGATGATGATGAAGAAGATGATGATTATGATGATGTTGTTGATGATGATGCTGCTGATGATGATGGTGATGATATGATGCTGCTGATGATGATGCTGCTGCTGATGCTGACGATGGCGATGCTGATACTGCTGCTGACGATGATGATGCTGAGGATGAGGAACAGACGGAGGAGGAGGTGGAGGCGGAGGAGGACTAGGAGGTGGAGGTGGATGAGGCGGAGGAGGAGGAGGTGGAGGTGGAGGTGGAGGTGCAGGTGGAGGAGGAGGAGAAGGAGGAGGAGGAGGATGGAAGAGTACGGAAGAGAAGGAAGTGGGAAGGTCAGGAACGGGGGGAGTGGGAGGAGGATAAGGTCTGACGCTACGAGCTCGGGCTCCGCGGCTTGCCTGAGAGAAAGGAGGATAAGGAGCAGGGGATTGGGAGTTGGGGAGAGTGAGGGGGAGTCTCCGCCTCGTCTTCGTCCATCCTTCTCGCTCCACCACCCTCCTCTCCTCTCCCGCCTACTTCTTTACTCCACTCCTTTATTCTCGCATCCTCCATACTCTCTTTTCGGCCTTCCTCCTCCTTCCTCCCCCCTGCCGTCCCATCAATTCTTCCCTCGCCGTCTGCACTGTCCCTCCTCCCAGCGCTCTCCTTGCTCCGCTCCAGTCTCCCCCCAAACCTTCGACAATTTTGTTTGTTTTTATTATTTTGTTTTTTCCCCGTTCCCCAGACAGTGCTTGCACTGTCGGGTCTGGCGAGGATTTTCCATGTTGCCGCTCGTTGCCGCCTCGTTGCCGACTCGTGCGCTGTGAGGGTCCCTGCGAGTTTTCGCCACGTTGCTGCCCGCTGCCGCCTCGTTGCGGGCCTCGTGCGCTGGGTGGGTTCAGCGAGGTTACGCCACGTTGCTGCCCGTTGCCGTTTCGTTGCCGCCTCGTTGCGGGCCTTTTGCGCTGGGTGGTTCCCGCGAGGTTTCGCCATGTTGCCGCTTCGTTGCCGTCTCGTTGCCGCCTCGTTGCGGGCCCCGTGTGCTGGGTGGGTTTGGGAAGGTTTCGCCACGTTGCCGCCCGTTGCCGCTTCGTTGCCGCTTCTTTGCTGCCTCTTGCGCTGGGTGGGTCTGGCGAGGTTTCGCCCGTTGCCGCCCGTTGCCGTCTCGTTGGCGCCTCTTGCTGTGGGTTGGTCTGGCGAGGTTTCGCCACGTTGCTGCCCGTTGCCGCCTCGTTGCCGCCTCGGGCGCTGGGTGAGTCAGGCGAGGTTTCGCCACGTTGCCGCCCGTGACTGTCTCGTTGCGGGCCTCGTGCGCTGGGTGGGTCTGGCGATGTTTCGCCACGTTGCCGCCCGTTGCCGCTTCGTTTCCGCCTCGTTGCCGCCTCTTGCGCTGGGTGGGTCTGGCGAGGTTTCGCCACGTTGCCGCCCACTGCTGCCTCGTTGCTGCCTCGTGCGCTGGGTGAGTCCGGCGAGGTTTCGCCACGTTGCCGCCCGTTGCCGCTTCGTTGCCGCCTCCAGCTTGCACCACGTACACCAAACGGCTTACACCACATAGCTTGCAAAGACTGTCTGTTTAGGGCCCACGCTGGCTAACAGTCTTTCAAACAACGTGGGCATTAGAGCACTCGACCCCGCACTGGGCGGAGCTTTTCGTCACGGGTCCTTTCGTGGTGGTCCTGGGGCCGCTCCCAGGGGCCGAAGCTGAACAACACACCGCGCCCGTGGCTCCCTTCTCGCGACGCGTGGAGGTCTCCCTGCCCTGCTCCCCCCGCCCCCGACCCCCCCGTGCCCCCTCCCGGCGCGCGCGCTCCGCTCTCGAGGCTCCGCGACTTCCGGAAACCGGGCGCGGAGCCGTCCTTCTGAGCCCGCGCGCGCGCGTGCGCGGCCGAGGGACCGCCTCTTGCTGCCAGGCGCTGCGTGGCGCTGCCCCGCGGAGAGCGCGCCATCCTTTCTGCGGGCGAGGAACGGTGCAACATGGACTTCTTCGCCGTCGGGGGCGCCTGTCCCAGGGCGGCTGTGAAAGTTTATGCCTTACGGTGCCACGTAGGGGTATAAACTTTCCAGTCGCCCGGGGGCAGGCGTCCCCGACGGCGGACAAGTTTATTTTATAGCGTTCTTCGACCCCTATATCCTGCGGGGGCCTTGCTGGGGGTAGTTGCTTGGGTGCTCGATCGACCTCCATCCAAACCTGGCTGCCACCTCCAAGTCTGGACGCCCAGGCGGCAGGGCACGGATAGGAACTTCGGCCCCCAGAGGCCAGATCTCCATCCATGCTCCTGCTCTTGCCTCTCGTATGGGGGTGGGGCAACAGCACAGGCACGGAGAAAACGTCGATCGCCTATGGCGGCGCGCACACCTGGACGGGGCGAGGGGATGGCCTTCTGGGGAGGCAGCGGGGGCTCCCTAGAAGGCCTCCTTCCTCTTGGGGAGCCCTCTCAGGGTCCGGATCCCTTCGAGCGAGGCCTCCCCGCCTTCTCTCAGAGAGCCCGTGCCGCCGCGCTGCCAGATGGCGCCCCACCTGCCGAGCGCAGCAGCCGAGAGCTCGCGCAGGAGATCGCCGGAGACCGCCCGAGCTCGGCGGCGAGCGAGGGGGGGAAGGGAGAAGGGGCGGGCCTTCTCAGAAGGCTCGGAAGTTCCCCAGCCTTCTGAGAAGGCAGACTAAAGATTCTCAGAAGGCGCGAGGGCTTCTGAGAAGACCCGCCGCCTTCTGAGACGGCCTTCTCCTTCTCGTCTCCCCCCCTCGCTCGCCGCCAACGAGTACCGCCGGGCTGGCGGCCCCTCTGGGCAGCACGGGGCCCATGGCCGAGCGCACAGCAGCGGGGCGGGCGGGGAGGGCGGCGGCGCGGCCCTCGGGCTCGCCGTCGGGCGGCCGCGCGGTGGTGCCGCTCGCAGTCGCAGCCGTCGCCGGTCGCAGGGTCGGCCCGCCCGGCTTCGCGGTCTGCTGCGCCTGGCGTGGCGCCGTGGTGAGTGCTGTCGACGCGGAGGGAGGCCTCGGGAGGCAGCAGCGAGCACTCATGCCAGGTTCATCTGTCGATGCCACCCCACTCCTTCCACTGGTGCTCGTTTGTTTATTCGTTGTTTTGCCGATCGGCGTCGGCCCTCGCACCCCACCCTCTCCCCCCCCATGGAGTAGATTTTGGCTGTTCTTTTAGCGCCTGTCTCGAGCAGGTGGGGTCCGTCCCCCATCGGCCGCACTGACGCAGACAGTCGCACTAAACAGAGGTCCAGAGCAGGACCCCCCTCCCCCACCGCCTTCCGCCCAATGTCGAAACGCCGAATAAAAAAAACGCTCACCACTCATGCCAGATTCATCTGTCGATGCCACCCCCCTCCTTCCACTGATCAAAGTTGGCGGTGGCGCTGAGGAGTTGCAATTCGACGGCTGTCTTGCCCGCGCGTGCCACCGTTGAATTTGGGGGGGTTCGGTAGCAAAGCATGGGAGCCTTGCATACCCTCGCAATGCCGTCTTTAGAATGCGTTAGCGAAGATGAGCGTTTGGTAATCGATGAGATAGCGCCGATGTAGCGTAGATTAGCATTGATTTAGCGTCGAGTAGCGTCGATTTGACGTAGACTAGCGTCGATTTAGCGCCGAATAGCGTCGACTCGCAAGAGCCAACAAGATGGAGGGCTCCCATGAGTCGCCGCAGAAGGGGGAGGGGAGGTGCCTGTTGAGTCTTGCCCTCTGCCAGAGGGCGGGCGTGTCGGGAGGCGCCAGACGTCCGCGGGTATCAAACAAGACCGAGGGTATAAAAGCCCGAGGGTATAATCAAACATATTCGAGGGTACAAGACAAAACATCCGAGGGTATCAAACGCCCTGGGTCTTTCTATGCCCTCGGTTTTTTGGTTTGTTTTTTATTATAATTCCCGCGCCAGCGCTGGGCCGCTCATGTGCCGCTGGCCATGACTTGCGCTCCAGTAGGTTAACAATATGTTCGAGCCCTTACACATTCGAGGGAGATTCGAACTCACCCCTACGCCCCCGGCATCAATGTTGATCTCAGTAAAAGCGGTGCTTTGGGGTTCGAATACTTCTGTCCACTCACGCCCACCCCGTCGTCACGCCATCAGTCTTAATTTCGGGGGGTTTGGGGGGCATCTTGGGACACAGGGTTCGAATACAACGTCCATGTACGGTCCCCCCTCTTGGACGCCCCCCTCTTGGCCGCCCCACCGCAGAGGTGGCGCCCTCCGAAGAGGTAGACGCCCCCCTCTTGGCCGCCCCCCCCCAGAGGCGGCGCCCTCCCCGCGCAGATCGGCGCAGGCCGCAGGCCGCAGCCTGCGCGCCTGGCGCCCGAGAGGTCTCTCGCCTGGTCTCGCCTGCCCGCTCGTGCCGAGCACGAGCTGGCAACCTCCTCCACCTCCTCGTCCTCGTCCTCGTTCTCCTCCTCCTCCTCCTCGTCGTCGTCCTCCTCCTCCTCCTCCTCGTCCTCGTCCTGCTCCTCCTCCTCTGTTTCCTCCTCCTCCTCCTCCTCCTCGTCGTCGTCCTCCTCCTCCTCCTCCTGGTCGCGCCTGCCCCCCCCCCCCCCGGCTCGTGCCGAGCACGAGCTGGCAGCCGACGCCCAGACCCCTGCGGCCCCTAGATTTAGGTGGGGCTTGTCCCTCTACAGCAGGAATATTCCAAAATAGCAAAAACATAGCCCGAGGACGACTTTTTGAGTACTTCTGATTATTTTTGGGGCATTTGTTTGACTATTTTTTATTTTTCGTCCAAAATCCGCCTGTAGGGGGACATGCCCGACCTAACCCTAGATCCCTCGGGGTGGAATTCCGTGCGGGCTGTGTGTGGGTGTGTGCTGTTGGATGGGGTCCGCTCTCGAACGGGAGACCCCCTTCGACAACCCGCGCCTGTACCTACAGCGTCTCCATCTCCGTGTCCTTACCCATTCCTCCTCCCTATAGGTTTCAGCGTGTGCTGTTCTGCCATCATGTCGAAGAAACGCAGACATCGATTAAGGCGCGTGGATCAGCGTCGGGCTTCGTTTCCATGCAATTTCGATCCGCTCCGTCGCCAAACCGAGCGGCGCTAGCTTCATGTTTCGCCCCGATCCGTGGATCTGGCGACCACCGGCCAGATCCACGGATTCGTAATCCATGTTAACGTGTGCATCGTAGGCTCAGATGTCTCCTCCCTGGTGGTTCCCAGCTGGGGACGTGTGGCAGCCACTGCTCACCCATTACTACTACCATGTCGAAGAGGACAACCAACCTTGGGCCGAACCCTCAGGAGGGAAGATGCCAAAGGCCATGGGGCCAGGGGGTGGAGATCCCCGGAGATCCCCAGAGACCTCCTGGAGTCCTCCGAGGTTCTCCGAGGTCCCCCGAAGCACCCTGGAGCCAGCCGAAGGCCTCCCGAGAGGCCCAGAAGCGGCAGCGGTCTCTCGGCGGCGCGCCGAGGGGGGAAGTGCGGTGGGCAGACCTTCTCGGAAGGCGGCGTGGCTTCTCAGAAGCCCTATGGCCTTCTCGGAAGTCCTCTGCTTCGGAGAAGGCTCACGCAGAACACTCGTCAGAAAACTGCAGGCCCTCTGAGCCTTCTGAGGGGGCCCACCCCCTCTGCCTTCCTCCCTGGGCGCGCCGCCGAAAGGTGGTGTGGGGTGGTCTCAAAAACCTGTTGATCGTGTGCCTGCGTTTCGCTACCACCACTTCTGACCAGGAACGGCTGACCCGTGGGCGTGATCTGCTGGACGAGGTCCTGGCCGCGCCCAACGGAGCACCGTCGGTCCGCCGACCCTACTCAGACGTGGTGGCAGCGAGAGGTAAAACCCATCCTGCCGAGCCCAGCCTCAACCTGGACTGCCTCCATTTGTCGCCTGTGCGCAGCCCCGAGCCTCGCCATGCGAGACGCCAGATCTCTCGGGTCCAGGCTTTTGGCCTACTGCTCCGCGGCCCCCCCCCCCTCCCTCGCCGAATTCTTTTGGTTTGGGCATAGAGTGTCCGCGTCCCTGGCCACTCCCTTTCTCCATGGAGGAGACAACAACCCTGCGTGCGCGGAGCATCCCTGCCCACGTCAGGCTGCTCATCACGCGGTTCCATCCTGTAGGATGCAGCTCCTTGGAGGTTGCATTCAGTCGGCGCTGGTATATCCCTGGTCGAATCTGGTCTGTTCTGGCGGAATCCCGTATAATCCGGCTTAATCCCCCTTACTCTGGCTTAGTCCTGGGCTTAATCCGGCCTGATCTAGCTCAGAGGCCGCCCAATCGGGCTTTGTAGCCCCTTATCGTCCTGGCGAAGAGCCCTCAGGAGTTGGCTCCTAACCTCCTCTGCTCCGGGACTGGAGCCTGAGCCGTAACCGAAACCAAACAAGTGGCGACGAAATTGGAGCAGCAAACAGCGCCAGAGCCGGCGCAGAAACGGCAGTACGAGGACGGAACAGAAAGGCCCTCTCGTTTCCAAGGACCGCTGGCGAAGTCCCTGCCCACGTCAGGCTGTCTCGTCGCGCGGAGCCCTCCTCCGCTCCGACCTCCAGGGCTCTCACTTGAGTCGGGCACGTCCCTCTACAGGAGGAAAACTCAAAGATAGTCAAAAAATAGTCAGGGGACGATTTTTTTAAATTATTTGTGACCATTTCGGAATATTATTGACATTTTTTTTTTTTTTCGTCCAAACTTGCCCCCGTGGGAGGGCAGGCCCGACCGAAGCTCTCACCTCGCACGCCGCGCCGGGAGAGCCTGCCACCACCCCGGCCGGGGGCGGGGGCGAGCGGCCGGCAGGCCTGCCAGCGCCAGCCGCGGCGGCGGCGGCGCGGTCGCCGCAGGCGCGCACGCGGAGGAGATGGGGGGGGATCCAGGCATTAGGGGGGGGGGATGCATCGACCCCTCATCGGGGATAGCCAGGACCCTGGATAAGGGGAGCCGGTGAGTGATGGGTCCCCGAAGCCCCAAACATGGACTGGAAGCACTCAACAAGGTCTGCCGTAGCTGACGCTTGTCGGGTCTCGGGAGACAGTAGGGAAACGGAGAATGACA